CCTGAGTAGCTGGGATTACAGGCACGCGCCACCATGCCCAGCTAATTTTTTGTATTTTTAGTAGAGACGGGGTTTCACCATGTTGACCAGGATGGTCTCGATCTCTTGACCTCGTGATCCACCCGCCTCGGCCTCCCAAAGTGCTGGGATTACAGGCTTGAGCCACCGCGCCCGGCTAATTTTTGTATTTTTAGTAGAGACAGGATTTTCAGCATGTTGGCCAGGCTGATTTTGAACTCCTGACCTCATGATCCACCTGCCTTGGCCTCTCAACGTGCTGGGATTATAGGCGTGAGCCACTGCACTTGGCCCCCTCTCTTTTTGAGACAAAGTCTCACTGTTGCCCAGGCTGGAGTACAGTGGTTGATCACAAGTCACTACAGCCTTGACCTGCTAGGCTCAATTGATCCTCCCATCTCAGCCTCCCAGGTAGCTGGGACTACAGGTATACCCCACCATGCCCTGCTAATTTTTCTATTTTTGGTAGAGATGGGGTCTCACTATGTTGCCTAGGCTGGCCTCAAACTCCTGGACTCAAGCGATCCTTCCACGTTGGCCTCCCAAAGTGCCAGGATTACAGGTATGAGCCACTGTACCCAGCCAGCCACCATCCTCCTCTCTTAACCTGCCTGCCCTGTTTCGTCTTCCTCTTTGTCTTGGCCTTGGCTGAGCTCCCTCTGCACTGTAACTCACTGCTTCCTCAAGCCTCAGGCCTTTCTCTATCCTGTCCTCTCTGCTCCCCTGCCTTTCCCCTGCTTGCCCATGCACAGCATTTAATGCCTGCCCACCCTTGGGTCCAGTATTGTCTCCTTGGGAAGCCTCCCAATTCTGTCTTCTCAGGGTATTTTTCTCTGTTGTATTTATCACAGTTTACAGTCATAGTCTTATTTGAGTAATATCTGTGTCCCCAGCTCAACTGTGAATCTGTCCTTCTTGCTACCGAGAGCCCAGGCCTGGCACAGCTTAGTGTTCGGTGAATGTCTGCTGAACAAATCTGTGTAACTGGAACCTCTTGGGCCCAGAATCAAGTTTGGGTCCACAGCAGTTGTGGGCCCACAAACTCCCTGCCCTGAGGAGACTGGGGCAGCCATCTCTTTGCCCTCACTGGGCAGGTAAGGAAGCCCAGGCGGCCTTGGTCCCTCAGAGCCCCAGTGTCGTCATCTGAGAAATGGGGTGATCATAAGGACACTAGCCTCATTCAGTTACTGGCAAGATGAAACTGATGACGAGGATTGCTCCAGCCAGCCCCGATGCCCTTGAGGCAGGAGCGAGGTCTGATTAATTCATCTAAGGCCAGGCACCAGGGCAGGCCTCAGGAAATGACAGGCAAATCTTGGAGTTTGCAGTCATGAGCCTTTGTGAATGGCTTATTTTGCAGGGAGTCCTACTCAACTGGATTCTGACTCCTCATGACAACCCTAAGGGAAGCATGATTATTAATATCTCTGTTACAGTTCACACATTCCTTCACTTATTAATCCAATAAGTATTTGAGTGCCTATGTGCCTGGCATACTGGGCTCTGTAAATATAGGGTAAACAAGGCAGATACAGCCCTGCTTTTAGGATGCTCACTCTCTAGGGGGAATAACAGTAATAATAACCTTCACTTCTCAGGAGGGTTTGCTGGGTGCCTGTGCCATACGCTCTACACTCATTCAAACCTCACAGAAGGAGGCACTCCTATCATCATACCCATTTTAGAGCTCAGAAAGCTGAGGCAGGGAAAGAGGGAGTCTTCTGCCCAGCACATCACTGCTCGTAGCCTGAGGAACCAGGTTTCTGAAGCCCACATTTCTTAACCACAGTCTGTACTGCCTCTGGGTATGCCATACTGCTTGTGAGGCTCAGTGTCTTGTTGTGACAGCAAGTGCCCTTGGGCTCCAGTCTGTCTGCTCTCTGAGCCTGTCTGAGCCTGTGTGTGTCTGGAGCCAACTCCAGGTCAACTCTGGGCTAATGATGTGTTCTACCGCAGGGGAAACAATGAGTTTGGGGTCCCTGGGGCTGAGGGGTGGTGGTAGTTTCTTTCCTGCATGGGAACTTCCCACAGGTCCTCACGCTGACTGACAAATCCTCCTAATTAAGGACCTGCCCCTGCCTGAGGCTTGCAGGATTTCTGATGGTGTGTCAGCCAGCCTTTCTTCAACCTTTTGAGATCTGAAAATGTGACATCTAGAGAAATCAGGCCTTCCCTTCTTTTTCCTGAGGCAGGTGTGGAGGTCTAAAGCTAAGCCAGGGCCCCTTGTCTTGGAAGGGGTAGGGGTCAGGGCTAGGCCCCAGTGGAGCCAGCGGAAGCAGGTGGACTGACATGGATGGATGGATGGACTGACTTGCCGGGTGGGAGGTCGGGACTGCGATGAGCTTTACTGACCCCACTGCACTCTTCACTACCGGTACCCCTTCCTCCTACCTCTCGCTGACTCACCCCTAGACTTCCTCTTTGAGTAAAAGCTGCTAACCCCCTTCCCCTTTATCCTCTCAAAAGCGATGGAGCCCAGAACTTCGGCGATCGAACCATTCCCCAGGTGGGAAACACTGAGGGCAGCCGTTGCCTTTGATCACACAGCGAATGCGGAACCCGAGCGGGAGCCCGGGTCCACGAGGCTCGCATTCCGGACTCTGCTCCCAAGCCGATCTGGGCGTCAGCTAGTCCCCGTGCCAGGGTGGGCCTCTCGGCTCTCACATCACCCCCTTCTCCAATGGATCATCCCGTCGCCCCCGCGAGCGGCAATGGGCCAGTCCGCGGACCCCCACACTCCTCGCGGCAGTGGGCCAGTCCACGCTGTCCCCATTGCCCCGCAGGATGTACGAGGTTCCGGGCTGCTGCCGGTCTCCGCGCGCTCACCTTTGGCCTTGCCTTTTCGCCACCGCCGGCGACCGCGGCTCCTCGAGCCCTCTTTGGCATTCTTCGAGGCCGAGGCGGCCTCGGCTGCTTGCGTTCCCCAAGCCGACTCCATCAATTCCCCGCGGTACTCGCGCGGTGGCCAATTCCAGTCGCGAGGCCCTGCCCGGAGGGCCAATCCTCGCTACACACTGCGGTGGGCCTCCGCCATCACCCAATCCCGGGCTTGCTGTTCCGTGGGCCCCGCTCCCTAACCAATCCTGGTCTCCCTCCGCTGCCGTGCTCCGCCCCAACTGCCAGAATTTAAGACCTGGCTCCTCCCCTGCCGCGCATTAAAGGGCTACCGGCCAGCAAAAATGCAGTCTCGGAGGCGGTGAAAAGGGCTAGTGCGGCAGGACTAGTGCGGAGCCCCGCGGGGAGCACCCCAGGAGGGAAGTCTCAGTCTTCCCACGTGCTGGGAAACATCCCACGTGCAGACTCAGCCTCGCTAGCCCAC